AAAATTAAAAACCATACCACATAGATCATATGTAACACTAAGTTACAATATACTGAGTAAAAAGGAAACCAGTGCAAAATAAATGAACTTTTAAATTTGAGCCACTGATGGTCTCTTTTATAATCAATATACTGTAACATATGACGTATGTAAACATGGACTTTTAATTTTTGATATAAAAATAAATAGCACCACTACTATAATATACGGGGTATCCCATAAGTTATGGATCAAACGAAGGGAGGTCATTTGCCATCAAAAATCTATAATGTTGTTATAAAATTGTTTATGGTTCAAAATATATTAGAAAAACACGACTTTCTTAGCAAAATAAATTCGTTAAAGAAATGTTTATAAGGTAAAGCTTTGTTAGGATCTACAAAAAATTACAATTTTTTTAAGTGTACACAAAAAAAAAGATTGGCTAAACATTGCAAAATTTGTCCCGAACTTTCTCAAAGAACTAGTCTGAAAAGTTGACCAATTTTTAATTTATTTATTACTAGTGATGGAAAAGCTTGGAAAGGTCCACAGACAAGTCCAACGGACTAGTCTGAAAATTTGATTAGTCCAAAAATACTTTTCAGTGGAAAAGTGTATTGATGAGCAAAATTAAATAAAATAGATTGGCTGAATTATTTACAAACAAAAGCAAAATAGAGTTTAAAAATGAAAAAACGACAAATGATTACTGGCTCTTATATTAGTCCCCAGTATATTGACGTTTGCATTTTGTAACTCCTGTACAAGTCAAATCTCCTGAGCGGCTTCATAAAACCAAATCGCACAAATTTTTTCATATACTTTACCCTGGGCGATGGGACATTTTCGCACTACTTCTTTGTGAAGTTGTCGTTCTGGCGTCGGACAAACATCACGTGGCTTTGGGGGGGAGGGGGTCCGATACCCCCAACATGTCGCAGTGGCATCCCTAAGGAAGTTGATACGTGTAGTTTTAATGTTAATCAACGTTTTTTTTTTATATAACAATAACGAAATCACATTTGTCAGACAAAATCACGTGGCTTGGGGGGGGGGAGGAGTCCGACACCCCAACATGTCGCTGTGGCGTCCCTAAGGAAGTTGATACATGTATGTCCGACAAAAATAATTATGAATTACAATGTAATTTTAAAACATATGCAGTAAATGTCGGACAAAAAATTTGAATATTAACGTCAATCAGACAAAAAAAAGTTCAAAAAATAGTTTAACCACTTGCATATTCAATATATAGTAATATAACCCATGCTTTGATTGTTATTATTTTCGGCTGAACTTTAGGATCTTCTCTTGTAAGATCGTACAAAAAACACGAGTGAATTTGCAGCTAAAATATATTTTTCGGAAAAAAACAAGCGTACTTTTTTGTACACCTTTTTAAACACTACAACTTTTGTTTGAAAAATTTTTTTTTCATAATTTAACAAAAAACTTGTTTACAGCCGTTTAAACAATTAAATTGTTTATAACTTTTGAATGCTGTTTCAAAGTCGTTTTAACCTAAACAAAGGTTTATTAAATTAAATTAAAAATGAAAATATACCAAACCAACTTGATTTTTTGTCCACGCAAGCAAACACATGATGAACACTGGACAAATCTTCCATTGAAAAGTTAACAATTTTTTTTTTAAATTGCCACTTCTCACCAATTTACTAAATTCAACTTGACGTTTATTTTCGCGTTTTATGTCAAAATATATTTCTTCTTCGTCTCTTTTATCGTATGCATAATCTTTAATGCTGGGCGATTGAAACAAATCGAATACAATAATTGAAAAGTTGGCCATGGATCAAAATCATGTGTCATTTGTTGCTGTCATGATACACGGCAAGCAAACAGTATGTTAAGTGCATGATACAATTAAAACAAGATCTGTTTTTTGATTATTTTCCGAGTATTTACGAAGAGGAACCAATGTTGCGCCAGTGGAAAGCCACGCGTGTGAGAATAAATGGATATTAATCGTGTTTTTCGTGCGATCTTAGGTTCGGCCGAAAATAATAACAATCAAAGCATTACATTATTATATATGGAGTAAGTGGTTACACTATTTTTAGGACTTTTGTTGTCCGACTGACGTAAATACTCAATTTTTTTTGGCCGACATTTACTATATATGTTTTAAAATTACATTGTTATTTATAATTATTTAATTATTTTTGTCTTACATACACGTATCAACTTCCTTAGGAAAGCCACAGCGACATGTTGGGGGTATAGGACCTCCCCTAAAGCCACGTGATTTTTGTCCAACAAATGTGATATCATTAATGTAACATAAAAAACTGTCGATTAAGATTAAAATTACACGTACATGTATCAACTTCCTTAGGGACGCCACAGAGACACGTGATTTTTTTCCCGACAAATATATCTATAATGAAATATGAAATATCGTCGATTGACATTAAAACTACAAGTACATGTATCTTCCTAAAAGGACGCCAGAACGACAACTTCACCAAGAGCTAGCGCGAAAAGGTCCCATCGCCCAGGGTGAAGTATATGAAAAAAAAAAAAAAAATTGTCCGACTTGGTGTTATGAAGCCGCTCAGGAAGTTTGGCGTGTACAGGAGTTACAAAATCCAAATGTCAATGCACTGGGGAATATATTATGTTTTTAAGGGTGTTTTCGAAATTTCGTTTCAAATCTTATCAAAATAAAAAACGGGAAAAAATACCAAAAAACTCAAATGCAAAAATTGTTTCCAAGGTGTTTTTGAAAATGCATCCAGGAAAACATTTAACTGTGTAGTATGCCTAGGAGATATTAAATAGCAGTTCCTTGGAAAAAGGTCAAGACTATTAGAAAAGGAAACGAAATATTATTTCCAGTGTTATTAGTTAGGTATACCTACGTAAAACCTTTCTATCAAATTTTTTCAAGGTCGACTATTTGTCACCACTTTTTACTACTTTTCACTAATCAATAATCAGATAACATATAATATGGTTATTTTGATTGCATCACTTAAGGTTCATTTGGTCCATGACATATATTATATCCAATGTTTAAAAACCTTTAAACACGGGGTATTATTTAAATATATGTAGGTAGATATTAAAACTGACCTACATCGACGATTCTAAAACAAAAGACTGTGATGTGGAATATACTCCAAATCCTTAAACCTAAACACAAAATGGACTGAAAAATACTGCCAGTGTAGCTCAAACCGAGCTCACATGGATTCTCATATGTAGCTGCAAAAGAAATTACCAGACAATATCACTGGAAGGAACATGCTCATTTGTACAGATAACAGACAAGAACTACTCATTCTGGATAGACCACGAATTTACTCAGGGATGGGACTAGAATGTCAAGAAGATTTAGCCAAAATATCCATCAACAATGTAAATGGATTAAGAATCACTAGTCCAGAAGACAGTCAACCAAATAATTTTTGAACCTGTGTCACTTTTCCCTTTTTCCCACCACAACTCCATCCTTTTTTTGTTAAATAATTTGCGGTGTTCCCGGTTTATTACAAAATGTATAGGAATATTTTTTAATTTAACTTACCCATCACCCAACATTATGAAACTTCCTAAATTTGCTGCAGTAAGACACACAAAAAACGAAAACGGCGTACATTTTTAACATAAATAAAATTTGAATGCTAAAACCAAAAATACTACACTACAAAAATTGTTCTAAATGGCGTCCGTTTTTATTGTTTTATTTTCTAGATTAACTAACTGTTTATTTTGTATGCATCTGTTCAGGTTCCATTCTACGAAAAATTTTCGAAAAATAATTTTTTGAAAACTAATTGAATACCTGCCCCGACCAAGGTTGTAACAACCAAAAAAAAAAAACACAAATTTTACAGGAAACATTTTTAAAACAACAAAGTTCTTGATGTTACAACCTTGTTCTGGTCGAGGAAACTTTTGAAAGTTAAAATTATTCGTAATAATGTGGATTTTAAGGCAGATCACAGTAAGGATTGTTCCATGCTTAGCACTGGTTCTGAAATATCGTTGGTTACAATCTTGTTCTGGGCATGTATTCAATTGTTCGAAATAAAATTTATCGAATCACTTGATTCACTTAATTTTCAAAAAATAAATAATTTTTTTTTAATATTCTCCTGAACTAGCTCTTATTTCATTTTATGAACCTATACATTATTATAACAAAAAATTACATAATTTTGACTATATTACTAATATATGTTTTTATTTCTTTTAATTTTTGTAGGAGACTATCCAGTAAGTTGTTGACTTATTTTCTGTTGGTCATCCTTTGTTCCCTTTTCAGTGCAGAATAAATGTCCATATAATGGGATTTTGTTTAATTTTTTTGCGAAGCAACCCGCGATGGCACCAGGCTGCACAGGTTAGGTAAATTAGTTAAGCTTTTGTTAACCACTTGAGTTCATATGTGGGATTAGAGCACCCCCACTGTGATAATACTATCAGGTACTTTATCATCTCAGTTTTTACGATATTATTAAACGGTTTTTTTGGTTCACGGAAAACTAAAATATCGAGAATAAAATTGCAGACTGTGGCTCGGGTATTCGGGGCCATGACCTTAAGTGAGCTAAATTTTGTAGATGACCTATACCAACCTCAGCGGCAGATGCTTAATTTAGATTTTTGAAAACTGAATTACTCCTTCAATTAACGGTATATTTTCAAAATAATATTTTTACATATTTCAGGGGAGCAGATATATTATTAATTTGCATAAATATCTACATGTATTTCAATAACACCCTGTATACCTCTTATAGTTATGTATATATTCCATAATTACCTAATTTATTTTTTATACTGATAATCAGTATCAGTATTATAATTTTACTATATCAGCAATAAGAGGAATAATGTTGTTATTAGTTCAAGAATATAAAAAAAGTAATTCCAATAAAAATAAAACGGCTCTTATCATGAAGATAAATCCAGAAGAAAAAGACAAAAAGCGTGTTAAAATAAGTAAAAGATCAATATTGATATAATGTAAATGATGTAGCAGTACTTACTTTGTTTAAAAGCGGTACTTTCAAATGAAGTTTTTGATCACATAAATGCTGAAGAACAGTTATACCTGAAAATAATTAAAATAAAACCAATTTATCGTTTTATTCGTTTATAAATGGTGTCTCATAATAGATTAAAGTTTTTAAATGAATAAAACTTGCCTATAGAATGTGATAGAATAGCTATTTGTGAATTAAGAGCGGGAATTGCACTTTGTCGCTTGAGATAAAAAGTTACCGAGCGACAATTTATCAGAAGCAGTAAATAGCTTTCCGCTCGAATTACACACATACATTCTGTTTTGATACTTATACGGGAGGAAGCAGATAGAAATAAATCTTTTACAGAAGTTCATATTTATATATCCATTTTACTATTTAAATATTTAAATAAGCAGAACTAAATAATACTAATACATTTGGAAAAACCACAGGAATCATTCTCCCCATTGTGTTTCAAGTTGGCGCATGTCGCAACTTTTGCTATTCCTGTCGATCTGTATGCAGGGTCGGTACCAGAAGCATTTAAAACCTTCAATTCATTATGAAAAAGATTTTCTTATTGAAATTATTTACATACCTTCTTCTCTGTGCTGGCCATATTTCGTCTCCCAAGCGTCAAATAACCTATTGTAATACCTTGGCTCCATAAACTGCAAGTACTTATAAGACTGTTGGCACGGGAAAATCCTCTCGAATTTGCCTTTTACTGATAATTCGTCTTCGTATCTCGTTAAGTGCCTGATATCGTCACCAGTTAAGCTCTTGAGAATGTCGTCGAGGTATTCATTCCTGTCAAAATAGGTGGAAGTTTCTAATGTCCATCATTACAATACTAGAACTAAAAATAATCTACATCGACCACTAATGGGTATGAAGGCTTTGCTATTTTTTTTTAGATATTTCGGAACACAGGAGACTAAATTGTAAATAATATAAAAAAAAAATATTCAGTACTTGCGCCTTCTACCAAAACAATTATTAGTTATTCGTTCTGTCAAATCAATTAAATATGGTGGATGATTGGCACACAAACTTTCTTTATCGAAATAGTTTCCGCAGGTACCGTCTGTCCAAATAAGAAAGGACGACGGCGGTTATATGATACAGTCTGTATCTCTGAAACTATGAGTTTTTAGATAAAAAAAAATTAAAGAAAAAGTGGTTAAAATGAATCGCAGTAAATTATTTTTAAATTGTTAACTTCGACACTAGATGGCGTAATGTGTATGACGAATGATAAACAGATAAACGAGTGGGTAGTCAAAATTTCGCACAGATTATGATTTTCACATTTTTGACGTACCATAATTTGACCATTTTTGAAAAAAAAAAAAACTTTATCGTTGGCCATGAGCATTACGTCTCCTTACGGCGAAGTTAGAAACTTGTATGGCCGCCTTCCTTTCTTATTTAGACACCACGTACTAACTTTTAATTCTTATTATAAGTTTAAAACTACCAAAATCATACAATCTTCACTTTTAAATTGCCTATATTGAACTCGCCCACAAAAACAAGTCTTGACCGTTACTATTTCTAAAAAAAATTAGACTGAAAGTCACTATCTATAAATTTAATACTATTGTAACGTTTATGTATTTAATTAATTTACACTAGGACACTAATTTATATGACTTAATTTATTTATAACACTGATTTATATCTCACACTTATAAAGTGTGTCAAAGTAAAAAATATATGGAAAAAAAATTATTATTAGTTTTATCAAAAAAAAATTATTCTTTATAAAAAGTTCTGCATAATCAAATACCTAAAATTCTACCATGAGATATTAAATTTTTTGAGCCTTATACGAAGTGCGTCAAGTATATTTTTGACAAACCTCGTATGAGACACTGATTGAATTTGGTAGAAGATGAATGAATTTTAGATTTTAAGTCATGAAGCTTTTTATGAAGAGCAACTTTTTCCAAAAATTAATATTAAAATTTTTTTCCATATATGTCGCTAATAACTTACGTAGAGAGTTGAGCAGTATATGGAAAACAAATTTTATTATTAATTTTAGGAAATGTATTCTTCTTAAAAAATTGTGCATGGTCCAAAACCTAAAATTAAATCATCATATATCAAATTTTATGAGTCATATACGAGGTTTGTTAAAATGCACATGCACAATTTTTTTATTAGGAATACATTTTTTGATAAAAATAATAAAAAAGTTTTCCATATGTAGCCAAATTACGTAGACACATTGTATATACTAATTTACTTTGACAATGTATTTTTCTTAATACAACAATATCTATCCATACTGCCTTCTCCAACCGCAACACAGCCTATTTATACCCAAATTTTACCCTTCAGACCTGTCTTTATAATTCTAGACACCATTTCTTACACTTTACCAAAGTAAGTACATTAGCTATAAATTGCAAAATTGTAAAAAAATGCCCAAAATATTGATAATCGGGAAACTGGAGGCCGTAAGAAGGCCAAATATGGCAGAGAGGGAGTAGGAAAATACAGCATGTTACGTGAAATTAATTCTAAATTAATTTCAAATTTATTTTTACCAACTTCTCCATAACCTCTCGTAACACAAGTTAAACGACCACCACTCGCTTCCTTTTCGAGGTTTGCGCACGTACCGTGTGTTTCTTTGAACAACCACGCCGATATAAAACCGACTCGTGTGGATTCAACCAGCCTTTTGGTTTATCGAGTTCAATTTGGTAGTGTGTGCCGATAAATTAGCTACCATGAGTAGATTTCCGTAGTTATACTGTTTTTTATATGTGCTTATTGTGTGTTAACGTTGGGATAATTGTCAGGTAATGTTTCTTTCAACTTATATTTTAACATTTTGCTGGATTTAGTTCGAAAACCGAAAGGATCGGTCATTTGCTTTTTTTTATTACCATCATGCTGACGAGTGCCGATTATTATTACTGTTTTATTTTATATAGATTATATCTACCCTACCTAATACTATTTTTAAGCTTTCTTTGATATTTTGATATATACGCGGGGAGGCAACTAAATAATTGAATTACAAGTCAGTCTGAAAATACAGTTTAAACGGAAATCTATGGCTCTTAACTTATTTTGGCCTTATAAATAGCTTACATTTTGTTCAGATGATGTAAAACTTATCGTTATAACTTATTTTGGCATTATAAATATTTTATATTCTGTTTAGATGATGTAACTTTAATATTTGTCCTGATATTTTATATTGTGTTCAGACGTTGTAACTTTAAAATTCCGTTAAATTTCCAAACTGGCATGTAGATGTACTTTTACTGTTACTGAGGTTCTTTTTATTTCTAAACCTGTAGTGGCTCCAAAAAGTCCGAGTTACGTAGTTGCTCCTAGAAGCTTTAAGCTCCAAGAAACTCCAAGTTCGAATTACGTAATTTCTCCAAGAAGCTCAGAGTTACGTAGTTCTCCAAGTTCCGAGTTCCAAGTGCGAGCTCCAAGTATAACTTCCAAAGGCGGATTGTCCATGACATACGACAGGGAAGTACCGCTATTAGAATGCCACATGGTCGAGACTATTATACCTATTAAATATTTATCAACTTCATTTAATTAATTTTTATTTGTTAACAGTCAAGTTTTAATTAATTTCTCAAATTTAATCATTGATTATTAATTTATTATGTACAAACTCATTATTTTTACCTTTTTTTTATTAAATGTATTAAATTTTCTCACTTTCTTTTATTTGCCAAAACTCATACAGATAACTTTAAGTACCAGAGACTGACTCAATTAAACAGGGCATATCCAATCAGATAAGTTTTCCAAGTTACTCAAAAACTTGGTGGCACTCAACATTTTTTTTTGTCGTTATCGTATTATAGTATCTTAGTGTCTTTCATTTTATCGTAAAGTAGACTTTGGCCCGCGAACCGGTCAAGCTACTCTGATGTCATTTGTTCTGGGCAATTTATGAATCCACGCTGTATCAGCAATTTGTGCAAAATCACCTTTTACGTACAACTGACATCATAGAAATCAAAAAAGGAGGTAACGAGCAGAACCGGAATGGTTGAAAATACTCGCACGACACTATCTTATTTAAGTTTGATATTCACCAAAGAATTTCATTAGAAACAAAATAAAACATTAACCAACTCACTGCTATTTTGTTTGTATGCAAATCGTCCACCATTTTAATTGTCAAAATATCACGTGGTTTTAAATGGCTAATTTCTGATGAAAGGCCACAAAAAATAGACAATTTTAAGGCCAGAGGTCAACAGGAATCGAGATATCAACATTAAAGGATTTAAGCTGGCTGACTGTCCAAACCGTTAACTGTAATCTGGTTTAAGGGGTTATGATCGACAGGTAATGAATGTTATTTTTAACAGACACGTTATTTGTGAATAGGTTGTAATTTCTGTGTGTTTATAAAATAACAGACCTGTTAAAAATAACACAGGTTGTCAATCATAACCCCCGTAATCTTTGTGTAACTTTGATATGACAGAATCAAGAATTTATATTAATTTATAGATTATTTTTTATATTTAATCAAAAGAGGATTTTTAAAAAATGAACTAAATGTTCATATTGGAAAATACTTATTTCCAATTATTTAACAATTTTCCCTTCACCTTCAGATTGATGAAAAATGTATAATATTTGACCCCAAACCCTCCTAAACAACACTTTCTTAAAAACATGTTATAATTCACAATTTTAGGTTTTTTTTTTGAATAACAACTATAAAACAACAAATAAAAAAATGTATACTTTCTGTGCAGTTAGAAGAAACATTTGTATTTAAACAATTTTATAATAATTATAATATTGCTTTTCCAGTGGAACATCAATCTAAATGCAAATTACTAAGTTTTGAGAAAATGATGTTTTAATATTTAATCAATGCAACCATAATAATTACGTAATTATAAAATAAGTCGTTTTTTTTTAATTAAACTGTGTATTGAAAAGAATTCTTACAACTAATACTGTAAAGCCAAATCGGTCATATTTTGGAAAATTTCAGATTTACACCCTTTTCTAGTTACGCCATTGTTCCCCTGGAATTATAATTTTTTACTTTCCTGTCTGTGTACAGATAAGGAAAGTATAGGAATCATGATTTTTTTCGACCTCGAGTTTTCGACAGATTTTTACGTTTTGGGGTCCTCTGACCCCGTTTCGACCATTTTCGCGATGATGTCTGTATACTCGATAACTCATGAACGGATACATAGAAAAACACTCAATTTTAAACTTTTAATCTTAATTCATTTTGCGGTGAGCTGATTAGATTTTTGGCATAATCGGCACAACTAGGGGAGGTACTTTATAGGGGCCGTTTTTATACTTTATGGAATATTTGTTATTTACGCTTGGAGAAAAAAATTCTTTAAATAAAAGTTACTTGTAATGTTATTCTCTATAATTCTGGTCCTACACATAATTTCTCTAAAATGGACCGTATTCGAGATATTTGAGAAAAAGCGCATGTTTCGAATTTTGAAGAAAAACACCAAATTTTAAATTTAAGATTTAATCGATTCTAAAATGAACTGAATAGAATATATCTGTTAATTACGCTTGGAGAAGAAAATTCTTCAATTAAAAGTTGCTTGGAATAATCTCTATAATTTTTGTCCTATTCGCTCAGTGCGAAGTCATGGTTGGGGAAGCAAAAGCGATACTAGCGCTAGCTGCGGATAATTCGTGCATTTTAGGGCGATATTTTGTAATTTTAGCATATCAAATACATGTATACATTTTACTTTATTTTTTCGTAAAAACAATACAATAAGCAACCAGAGTTGCTGTGTTGAAATTTGTAAAAATACTAGCAAAAAAAAAACAGTGTAAATTATAAAAATTTTCAGTAGCAAAGTGGAAATATATCAAAGAAATAAATGGATATGTGTACAGTAAAAAGACATCAGAAACATGAAAGGTTTTAAATAAACAATAAATATAATTTCACAATGTTCTTCAACATCCCTTTAATCTTAAATGTTCATGCAGTAAGAACTAGATTTCTGCCTTTGATTATTATATGTGGCTGGAATGCACTTTTGTGACTTACTGATAGAAAACCAGTTTTAATCATTTATTCTATGTTTTCTTTCGAACAAAATTGAAAACATAAATAACAATCCTTTTGTACATACATTTTAACTTCACGCTAATTATTTAAAGATATTTATTATTTTGACAGAATAGGTTTTCTTCAATGAAAACTTATTAGACTCAAGCAACTTCTCATACATTTTCCCGTAAATACTGTTGCCTGCTTTTATTTTATTATTTTTATTGAATATACTTTTTTTAGTTTAATCGATAAAAATATATAATAATAAATTATTGTTTTGCTTGTTTTACAAATCCATATACTTTTATTAAAACTAACATATATACTTTTTAATTACGAATTCTATTAAAAATTGTATTGTCAGGCAGAAATAGTCCATTAGTATAAAAGTGAATTGGCGCTGCTGTTGCGCCCAGAGCGAATACATAATTTTCCTAAAGGGGTCTGTATTCATGAAATTTGACAAAAAGTGCAAAATTTGAATATTTAAGTAAATTGTTCAAATAAAAGTTGTTTGCGATATCATAGTAAAAAGTATAGTAAAATGTATTTTCGTTGGCAATAATACATTATAAAAAAATGTTTCGAGTAAGATGTGTGTGGAGAATGTATGTATTTAGTTCATCCTTTAAAAATATTTACAGGGGCGATACAATAGGTTGTACAAACTAACAGGAAAAAGCCTGTAATAACATTTACGACGTTGTTTCATTAGTTTTGTAAAAATACAAATAATTTCGTATCAACAAAACTTGTCAAATACGTCGTTTTGTCTATGGCACCAATTAGAAAAAAAAAAAACTCGCGGTTGGGACAACGACGCAAACGTCTATTGTTTCACTGGAAAGTTTGTTACTTTTTATCAATTTTTGTGCAGATAATTAAAAAATTTAAAAAAAATGACATTTAGGTATCGTTCCACCGGAGAAGCGATACCGAAGTTCTAAATCTGGGTTACAAACTTCCACCGTGTTTAATTTCGTTTCAATAGGCGTCAAGCCAAAAACCGAAGAAAAAGGAACTTCAAAATCCAGATTTAGAATCTAAAACATTATGGAAAACTTTAAAATCGTGTTAAAGTTAACTAAAACTCTACCTGCTTTCTAATTGCTCAAAATGGGAATGTTTTCTTTGTTCTCTCTTATTCAATGTAGTACTGTACACTCTGGCATCTAAAACGTCAGGAGCTTCACCTTCCATATGCAACTTCATCCTAGGGGGTAGATGGAATTGGGCCATATTAAAAAGTGTATGGACTATTGGGCCTTTCACGTGAGCGTCCAAAGGTGAGGCACTGTGAAGGCTCGGAGAGATGTTCACCTGGACAATGACTTAATCCATTAGAAAGTTTTACATAAAAAAATAATTTTCTGCAAATTTGAATTGCAAATATTAATAACTCATAGTATAATTAATTAAATTGGTGAGTATTTTGAATTAGAAGAGCATTCTTACCTCTAACAACCAAGGCTTTAATTTTTCATCTAGAAGTACGTCAATTCCGAAAAGTTCATAACAATTATATCTACTCAACATATTTTCTTCGCACAATTGTACCACTGGTGACTCACATGCTAGTATTGTTTTTATAACTAATTGCTGCAAACTCTTCCAAAGGATCTTCGTATCTACATTTTGATTTTGCAGCACTTCCAGTAGTTTTGTGATTGTCCTAAAAGAGGAAACTGTTTATGTAAAATATGATGACAATTAGCATTTTTTGGTTCTTAATTATAACATAAATGTCATTTTCTGAAAGGATAGTATTTGGGTATAACGATAACAGATACAGGAACGGTTGAGAGATAAATAGAACTAAGGATTAAATAATCAAGGTAACAAAAATAGAAGTAATAGAAATGGATGAAATGCAAACATCTCTGTGAATAATTAAAAAAAAAGGACTAATTAACTTATTAACTAAATTATCAATGGAATGGTCACAAGTAAAATATTTATCAAAATTAGCCATGATAAGAATATTTTAACATACAGAAAAAATATATGAGAACCTCAATCAAGATAGTTTAAAAATAACGTTATATGTACAAGTAAATTAATAAAATAATCACGCTCAATAGTTTGTAAGGTGTAACAAGAATTTTTTTAACAAATCTTACCATTTATGTCCTTCGCAAGAATTGAAATCTTCATTGGCAGTATACTGGCTGGATAATTTATTTATACTATAATTTGTTAAATGCATATACCTATCTTTTAAATCTTTAACATCTGCACTGTATTTCGCTAAAACATAAAAAAAGAAAGTTAGGACTAAATTAATAAAAAGAAGTATATTTTATTTCCAATTATAAGCTACGTAGCAACAATAAAATATACCAAGTACTTTTGGCTAAGAGGAATTATCAAATCCTTCCTGAAAATATTAAAATTGTGTGTAGAATTTAAAATCTTTAACAAATGTGTCATAGCCTGTTTCTCTTTTTGATACCCCATTATTGGTATCGGAGCCATGATGATTTTTTCATTATAAGCATTTATTAAAATGTATTTTTTTTTTTAATTTTAATAAATCGTCACAACCAGAATTTCTTTCGGTCGAATAATTGTTCCTAGTTCATAATTTTTTATGCATTTGGAAATATGTTTTTAACAATGTCACTCTACTTAAACGTTTGTTCAATTTTTTTCATGTATGACATAAGTTTCAGCACACATTTGATAATAATTTTAAATTCTAGATATATTTGTAATATTTTTAGAAAGGCTATATGGTGATTTTTGGCTGAAAAGCGCTCAGCTGAATTTTATTAGTAAAAGTTAAATTAAGGCTACAAAAACATCTGAACTATTACATATTTAGCACAACTGAAAAATAACAGTGATCATTGGTAAATCTCCTTTTAGATAAGAATTTACTTTTGAAGAATGATTATCTTTCGTCAAAATACAATATCAAACGGTTTTCTGAAGTATCTAGGCTGTGGTAAAATGTTGTCTTTATATGTAGATTTTGAGATAATACTATTGTAGTATATTACATACAAAGTACTCTATTACAGCAGAGCGTCGAGGCAGCTACAGACACGAGGCTAGAACAAGTCCCCCAAGCGCTGAGCTCTTATGTAATCAGCTCAAAAATGGTCTGGAGATGCCTAGAACAATTGAATGAGCTAGGCGCGAAAAATAGAATTACTCTCACTTGGGTCCCGGGACATAACGGGGTACAGGGTAACGAGATTGCAGATAGTCTTGCAAAGAAAGGGGCTCAAACACCCATTGTAGGACCCGAGCCGTTTTGTGGTATCAGCAGTAACATAATATTAGGAGAACCGATAATTGGAACAATCTCTTGGGGCTGAGACAGGTTAAGATACTTCTGGGTGAATATAACCAGAAAAGATCGGAAGTCTGCATCTGCCTAAGCAAGAACAGGCTACGTATTGTAACAGGGATCCTTACCGGGCATTGCTGACTAAAAGTACACCTTAGTAAACTGAGAGTAGTAGAGGATTGAGTGCAGATTCTGTAAGGAGGAAGACGAAACCTCCATTCACATTCAAACTGAATGTGTAGCACTCCAGAATCCAAGGGCACTATATCTAGGAGGATATCAAATAGAAGAGGAAGATTTACCTAACTTGAAGCCACTCCAAATCCTACACTTTCTCGAGAAAATAGGATTGGAAGGGTCGTTATAGGCATTGGGACATTTCCTTGATGCAATAGCGACAGAAAGGGACACAATAGACTTTTTAGGTCGCAGTGTATTAACACCCCATTCCCAACATCTTACTTCATTTTTCCAGCTAGCTGAGAAAGTAACTTTCACTGCTAGCATGTCTTATTTCCTTACCAGTAAATGTCACTATATGCTTTGTAAGTGTTTTTGTATCACTGCCTGATTTTTTCCGGAATCATGTCTTAGTATTAGTATTTTCGGCTGCTTCTCGTAGTTCTGGTGGGGTACATTGAATTTAATTGTCAGACATATTTCTAAATATATAAAGACAATTTTATTATTAAAAGTGCATTCAATATATAGCTGGCAAAATAATTATCTAACTGTCAAAATCAGTCAACTTGTTATATTGCCTAGTAACAGCCTCACAGGTATCTTCATTAAATTCTTCAAATTATGATAGAAATTAATACCAATGCCAATATTACTTGAAACTCATACAATAGGAGTATGTGAGAAAAATCGTATACATACCTCGGGGAACCCATTCTAGCTTCGCGTCTGTACCTTGACCCTCGGCTACAATAGAGTACTTCCCCGCTCGGTATGTAATATATTATTACTCACAATCCTACTATCAGTAATTTTGTTTCAAATATTGGTATTAATTTAATAATTTTTAGTGAAGATACCTGTGTGACAGTTAGGTAATTATTTTGCCAGTTATATATTGAACGGCACTTTTAATAATACAATAATTGCCTTTATATGCTCACAAATAAGTGTCCCATCAGAAATGCGATTAACTGCAGAAAAAAATACCTGAAACATGATTCCGGAAAAATCAGGGACAGGAAAACACTTAACAAAGCATATAGTAAATGACATTTGAGGGCAAGAAGTAACACATGATAGCTGGGAAAGTGAAGTAAGCATTAAGTCGCTTCCGACTGTTTTGAAGTATTCAAATCCACAGATTACTAACCGATTGTGAGTAAAAAGCAATTTTGGACCTAGTGAGTAAATTAATCACATTAATTATGTAATACCCCTAATAACCTGTATAACACATCTTAATTTTTATTACTCTCAAAAATCTGATCTTAAGGGAACATTTATACATGAATAATTACTAATTTATTATTTAATATACTAAAGTAAATAAAAGCTTAACAGTCAAAAACAAAGTACATTTGCTATTTAATTTACCGATACAAGTTTGTAATAAGATACCCAAGTAGCATTATAGCGACAGAAACTTATATCGCCACTTCGATTAAGTGACTATTGCGTTATAATCACTAAATGTACCCCTATATAGTGGGAATAACTTCATTTTATATTTTCCCAGTTGTAGCCACGTGTATTTCACCACTGGGAATCACTTCAAAGTTTTATATTATTTAGTTGCTTCTGATGGTGTTTGAAACGTTATAGCCACTAAGCGGGACCATTTTAAAGTTGCACAAACTTGAATGTGGAAAATAGTAATTACGGCCACCAAATCATATCACTTAAATACCACCTAGAAGTGGCAGTAATCTTAAAGTGGGTTTTAGTAACGTTTCGGGAACCATAAATATCATCTTTAAAGTGGCAGCACTTGATTGTATAACTGCAGTAGTTCTTCCCACGTTTTTGCCACGCTCTTAAGTGATTACCACATATTGTGTGAAACAAAAGCCACTTCAAAGTTACTATTACCTTCAAAATTCACAATGAAGTAACCGTTGCCTATTAGTGGCCTGCTTTCTACATTGTGCGCCTTTACAATAAAGAAAATGCACTCCATCTGCGACCAACTCACCTCGGGGGAACTTATTAGATTTCGCCTCAACGTCTCTCGTTGTGAAAAATTCAAATGGCCTGGACAAAATAAGGTTCCTTCGTTTTCCCACATGTCGGGAACAACGCAGAAACAAACACCCCTCTTTTCTTGAGTCGATACAATTTTAAAACTTATATCTAAATCTAATATAAAACATTAAATACATAAATTTAAATGATCTGCGACATAAACAAATTTAACCAGCGAAATCTACTGTAAATTCTGAGGTTATATGGAATAATACAACTAATACAGTGTTGCGATATCATCAGAGCGCAATTTCCATGAGAAGATATAGTATACAAAATTTTCCCATAATCTTCTTGAATGTACACTATATTTGTACAGGGTGTTCAGTTATTTTTAGAACAGCACTTAAAACGTGTATTAAAAGAGATAAGATAAATTATTGTTAAATACATAAGTTATAAGGCTTTACTAGAAACTATTAAAATAAACAAATGGTAACCAGAAAGGTAACTAACAAGTATCAACTTTCTGAATTAAAATGGGAACCGTATATATTTTTTACTATGGCGATTCCAAATATACCATACCTTAATATTTGATTAAGCCGTTTTACGCTATTCAAGATTAAAATTGCTTTAAATTTACATTACTTTGATCTAGGTTGATGGATGACATATTTGTAATTTAAGGTAAATTTGATTTTCCCCCCTGACATTGGCCTTATTGAACAACTCAAAAACTCTGAAAAAAGTGGAGAAATGACACTAGGTGGCTGCCACGTAACCGCCACTTTGAAGTGGTGAAAAATATTTTGGATTAGTTCCAGCTGCCACTTATTTGATGAAAGTAACTACAAACTGGCATATTTTTAGTTTCTGCAACTTTAAAGTTTTTTTTTCCTGAAGCAGACATATTTGTAACCATTTTTAAGATCGCCATTATGAGAAAATATAAAGGTGCTATTTAAAAAAATGTTTTCGTCCCTATAGCTTCAATGCAATAAAATTCAAATATATTTAATGATTTTAATTAACCAAGATTGATAAAAATACTGTTTAAGGCATCTAAATAAATAATGTTGAAGATGAAAAATTTACAGATTTTAACTTTTTAATTAAATATAGAGTATTCCAATGGCGCGTGCCCATATTTCGAGCTACAACACCTATATTTGACAGTAAACTTTCCAATCGTTCCAACTTTTTGCCTATCAGAATTCCTGAATCAATATTTTTATAACACATTATTATTATTATTATTCAGTATGTACCTACTTATTAGTTTACTAGCTATGTCAAGTTAGAGAATAAGCAAGGAGAATGGGAGAAATAATTTGCAGGACGGAGACCGAGCTACAAATATCAATCAAAAGACAAGGGCAGTAAGCAAAGTTCAGCGTTTAGTGTCGGCCACCATGCCGCCACATTATCGCCACGTGGCGTAAACGTGATTATATAAGTTCCGGAAACGTGGCTGGAACGTGGTTGCCACCAAGAAAGTGTTCCCCATTTTGCTTACCGCCACGTGGTAGAACCGTGTCTATTACGTGGCAGAAACTTTGCCAATACACTCTAAAGTTTCTAAAGTCGTGGTAGCCACGTTCCGCCCACGAAAAATGCTACTTGGGTATTTTAATTTTTTGCAATCAATGTAGTAATGCGAACCATTTTCGCCATTTACAGTCATTTTTCCCATTACCAAGAATATTGGATAAACTAAATGAACCTCAGAAACCCCTATGATACGCCCATGCTCGTCATCGACATTTAAAGTTATCGTATTTTCTAAAATATGCTGAATCCGCTGAATAATGTTAGCAAGTCTATTAGAAACAACAAGTCTGGTGGTGATTCTTAGTCGAAGGGCGTCTAGATTATTTTAAAACAAATCTGAAGCGCGACATATGTATAGACTAAATTTTGACGTTTGAGTTCAGTTTTAGTTAATATATCGTTCTGTTCAAATAAATATTGTCAATGTAAATTAGTGTATGAGTAAAAGATATATAAATTAGTAATGTATTCAGTACAAATAAATTGAATTATAAAATAAATTAGTGTGTTAGTGAAAATAAACTGAACAAACTGTTTAAATAAATAAATGTTACAATACTTTAAGTAAAATAAATATATACGTTAGTTGACAATTAAAAATGGAAATTTTCTTACCACTGGCAAACCTTGCTAAACCCTCTGGATATAAGTAAATTATTAAAGGATGGAAGCTCGTAACCAAAACATACAGTCTTAAATCGAATTTACTTCCGTTTATTAAAAATGGATTGGAAATGTATTTTTGTACCACTAAAGAGCTTTTCTTTGGAATCTGAGATAATTTGTTAATCACTTTTATGCCAACACCGCGAGCAGAAGCAGGCTGAAAATAAATCATCAATTAAACAATACATTCATCATTTTTTTACAGCTTTATGTAGCATTAAAAAATTCCAAAGAATTCAAAGAATATAACTTACAGGTTTAATTATCCACATGTCACTAGTTCCTGCACTATTAATTTTATATTCCCAACATTGTTTTAGTAACTTCATTTCCTGAGGTAGAATATATGTATGAGGTAAAAAACCAAACCTAAAAAAAAATACAAAAATAATAGCAATGCTTTAGAAGAGAAATTGAAAATGTCTTTGAAATAAATGCCATTTTAACAATGTATGTAACTCATTAAATGCAAATTGTGACATACACATACATAAATAATTTATACACAGTACTCTTCACCACAAATATTGACATCAATAAATGCATCATCATTGCAAGAATAAAACTACTCAAAATCGATACCACAGTAAAATATTGTGTATTAGTTTTATTCTTACTGAATATACGACTCACATTTGAGACAAATGGATAATCCTAGATTGCCAGCGTTTTTCAATAATCTTTTGTTGTCAGTAATTCGTCAATTTTACGTGTTCAATTTAAAGAGAAAGAAACTTAGTATTAGATGTAGATTATTGTGAATTTCCCCCTACACCGTAAGGATTGTTTTGAGTGGCTTATAGTTTCCAGATATACGTGAATTAGACGTACATAGGAACTATAAAAGTAACAAAAATTCCTCTTAGAGGTACCGTACGTCCACTCGCTTTTAACATTATAAAGCATAGCTAGAACGTCGACGAGATAGAAGCAGAGTGTAGTGAGGTACGGAGGGCTTTTTGAAAATATACACGTCAATCTAGGGTTAAACATACACTGCCGAGCATAAAATTAGGGTCATCCTGAAATTTTAAATTTTAGAAATTCTTAGCTATTTAGCATTTTTTTCGCTCGTAACATAGTTTACTAACCTTATAAGATGATTTTGTCGTGATTGCTTGAATAAAAAAAGTTTCTGTTGTTTTGTGTAAAGTTTATTGAAAATTTTAAAAAATGAAATTTTTTATTTTTTAAGCCCAACCAGAAAATACACTTTCTGAACAATTTTTCGTCCAGAAAATAATGTTTTGCCGATCAAGACCGGAAAGTAGACGTTAGAGACCGGTAAAGCTTTTACCGGTCCCTATTTTTCATTTTTCCGATCGCCGTTTGATAATACACAGTTTGCCTTCATTTCGTTACTATGGTAACAATGTTCCGATTTATTTCCAAGTGATAGTTCGTTGATTTTTAATCTGCTGTTTATGTCAAACTTGTATTCGCAAATTTAAAAATATGGATTTAGATTTTGAATTATCTGATATAGAAAATGAAATTCCAGAAGAAATTTTGGAAGCAGCAAAAATTTACATTTAACATAAATATTCAAACATAATGTATATGGTTAGTTTATGCAGTTGTATCTATTAGCTAGTTTTAGTATGTGTTAATCACTTTATTAAATAAAATAAATAATTGAGTTTACATCGAAGTGTCGGTCTTAAAAAAAATATTGTACGTTACGCGACCGAAACTGAGTGTTAAGCAGGTCTCTCCAAGCTTCCAGGTCTCGCCTACGGTTCACCCTGGAATCTGCTTGTCTCGACCTGCAAAACACTACTTTCCGGTCTTGTACCGTAAATTACTATTTGATATGCTTTTAGTTCAAACAAAAGAAATTTTAAGGAATTCAGTAGCGAGTATTCCCTCTTATAGCAGTGATAACAGCTCGCAAACGACAAAGAATGCTTTGAACCAGATTTTGGACCACATCCTTCTGAAGATTGTTCCATTCCTGCACCAGTATCTTACGAAGTACTCTAGAATTTCTGGGAGCCGGCACATGGCTCCGTAAACGTTTCCTCATCTCTTCTCAAACATGTTTAATCCTGACTTCGAGCAGGCCAAACAAATCGCGTGATTTGAAACTCGTCAAGATAAACAATAACTATTCGAGCAGTGTGGGTCCGTGCATTATAATGCATAAAGGTTGCGTCTTCCTCAGGAACGGTACAACATAGCTATAACCTCTGTCAGGTACTTATGCGCAAACAAAGTCCCATTCTGGAATAAAAAACTAACTCCGTGTGAGTTTCAAAAGATATGCCTCCACATGCCATAACTGAGCCTCCACCAAATGAAAGTCGTTCGTCATCAATCCTCTATTGTCCAAGCCAAGTGTTCTCGTGCAAAATTCAACCTTGCAATCGGGCGGCGATCCAGTAGTCCTAGTTCGAGAAGTTAATCCAGCAGCATGAAGTCGCCTCCTAACTGTCCACTCACGTTTACACTTCTCACTTCTTGCAGATGATTTCGAAGGGAAACTGCCATGACCATTTAGTTTTTCAAAGCACTAGAAACGAGAAAGCGGTCGTCTCTAGCTGTTGCAGTCCTTCCTTGTCCTGAACCAGGTCTTCGACTGAGCAGAGCAGTCACTTCGTACCGCTGAAATACTCGTTGGACACTGGAGAGACGTACACCAAAGTTTCTCGCAGTTTTGCGATGACCACAGGAAAAGCCCGTGTTCAAATCTGGCCTGGGGACTAATTCTATAAAGTAGTAAAATTCATAAATTATTTTAAAATTAGTTATTTTGCATAAAATAATTTTTTTAAATTTGTATATTTTCGTTAGTGGGTTTTAGACAAAATATACTGTAGAACTCGAGTGGATTGTCTATATCCACTCTTGTTGCACAAACTACTATTTTTTATTCAAGCAATCACGACAAAATCATGCTTAAAGTTAAATTCCAAAATAAATGCAAATTTTGAGGTGGCCCTCATTTTAAGTTCGGCAGTGTATAATCAACTTTATATTGGAATCCATATCTCTTAAGCCACGAAATATTTTATTCGCAAACATAAAATACTACATTTATTATCATTTAAATCAGAAGAAGCATAATCAACCAGTCTGTCACACCATAAGTAATCATATTCCACATCAAAAAGAGTGATTAATTACTGATGCTAGGAGTAAGATCAATGTTGACACACATTCCTGAGACACCTTTTATACAGACAAGCCTTTTTAGGCGCTTAGTTTTAGAAATTTTATAGAAACATTCGTTACATATACCTTGTTGTAAACAATGTTTCAAGCAATATTGTGACATCTGCCCCCTAAATTACTTCTAGTGGAGTTGTTGAAGCAAATATGTTGTTGGTAAATTGGAGACGACTACCCAGGCACAATATTTCTCGTTAGTCTTGTTTGGAGTTAATTAGAAGATTTTCCAGATCCCTTTATTCTAATCAATGTAGTAAAAGTAAAAAAAAATCCAATTTCTCAGTAAATATAAATGAATGATAAACTAAACCATTAAACAGGCTATAAAATCAATAATTTCACACGCCTGAAAGTAGTCCAAATGCACGTCAGTACTTGTGCCAAAAAATTGTAATCAACAGGAATTTGGCGTCAAACTGTAATTTCGTCAACAAGATGATCAAACACATCATCAATAAATCCTAGTTTTAAGTAAGAGTTGTAAATATACAAAACGAATATAAATACATTAGTAGTCACGAGCTATGCAACTTGAGATGTTTAAATGTCAACAATAATAAATTTTGACTGTGAAACTTACTCTTTAACACCGAATTTTAACATCATCCTTTGGAAGTTCCTCCATAATCTGTCTTTTCTTCCTAATTGAAATGTACCAGGGAAATGATTGAGTTTTTGAGTTTCTCTTAAAGTTTTAAAGAGAGGCGATTTCATGTGTTTACCCCATGTTCCTAGCCACGTATTTGATTCTAAAAGTAAATAAATAAATAAATAAAAATCGATTTCTCTAGAGGTTAAAATTTACTTATCAATCAGGTGGACTTGCTACTGGGTTAAGTAAAATGGCCAAAATTATAAATTGTAATGGTATTTATCAACTACAAGTTGAGACCTTTATCTACACTGACAACAGCTGACTAAATTGAAAATTAAGAGATGAACCCATTAGGCTACAGTGCAAGCCAAAAGTAAGAAAAATTCGATATTGATTTATGGAAATATTACAAAAACAGACGATTTTTTTTTTAAATTTCGTGCTTTATGACATAATATTCGGATATATAGGGTCATGTGCTTTCATAATTATTTTGCTTTAAAAAATATCTTATATAATAATAATAATAATAATAATAGTAATAATAATACTATCCCTAATTCACCCCCTTATGATTGAATTTTAACCCCAAAAGCTAAGCTTGTGCGGGGAAAGGGACGGCTATTATTATTATTATTATTATTTACTGTGGCGCTCCGAGGCGACTTAAAGATGATTGATGGTGCCATTTGACTTACAGGTGAGGAAAACCCGGAAAACCTCACCCACCATCATTATTTATAAGAGAACAAATTTATTATCATGTTGGCAATTGGATAGTGCCGGAATAAAAAATGGAGGTTGCTATTAAAAAACATGGTGATGACGCCACTACACTACAAGTATCACCCTGTATATCTGATTATGTCAAAAAGTGCGGAATTTAAAAACAAAATTATTGATTTTTGGACTTTTTAGAAAAATCAATACTCTCCCCTTTATTGAATTCACTCCTTACGTTTGACTCACACTTTATACAGGTAACGCTTCTGTCTGTACAGCCGAAACTAATGATTTTTAAATTTGTTTTTACAGTGAGATGTATATTAGAATAGGCAACAATTTAAAAATAATTTCAAATATACGTGGTTCTTCAGGAAAGTGATACATACCAAAGTTAGTTTTTTTTTTAATGGGACATCATGTATTTAATTTTATATTTGAATTAACCTCGCATTTACCAATATAAAAATACCAAATAATATTATTTGATTACACAGGGCATTTCTCACCTTATAACCTATTTTATATCGCCTGCTGAGAACTATAGTGGTAAAAATTCAAAAATCGTAATTTTGAGATAATCACGTTTGAAGTGTTGCTAAGAGGTCGTCAATTTCTCTTTTTTTATTTTTTATTTAAATATCACAATTTAACTGGTGCAAGTGTTTCTGAAATCAATGTCGATTTCTGTACGACTACTGTTCTCAGCAAGCGATATGACAATCATATTAAAAGAAACAATTGAAAACGACTATTTCTGTGATAAAAGTTTTTCGATGTTAGTCAACATTTAAGCCTACGCACTATTTTTTTCAATTCAAAACAAACCCTGTACAGGGAGAGTCAAAATTCAAATACATAATTTTCTCATTTTTTTTTAAATTGTATTTTATATTAATTTAAATTACAGAAAATACTTTAATATTAACTAGTTACTGGTTAATAGAAAATAGACTGTGTTGTAAATTAGTAATTAGACTTTAACCAGCCGTAACTTATTATCGATTGATTTAATTTTCTGACAATACCTAATGGGACTTTTACATTCCGTAAAAAAGAAATAAAAATAGCAACCACAAACTTCATATAATAGTTTATTCTAAGTTCATTAAGTGTTATTATGGCAGAATTTAATTAGAAAAGTTTCTCCAAAATACTTCTCTTATTCTCAACTAAAGGTCATATTATTAAAAAATTGGCTACTTTTTAAAAAAATATTGTAATATTAATGACATTAGTAATAACGAATTGTCAGTGTTTTCAAAATCTACTTAAAAATATAAACTTAGAATAAATTAGGTATTATAAAAGAGTGAGTATGTGGTTGCTATTGGTATTTATTTTTTACTTAGGTTTTGTTAGAAATTGTCAAAAACTTATTCAGACCATAATAAATTATAGTTGGTTAAGTTCTAATTACTATATCAAACAGTCTATTTTCTATTAATAAGTGACCAGTTAAAATAAAAGTGTCCCCTGAATTTGCTTTTTCGTAATTTAAATTTAAAAAACTCCCAAAATCATTAACTTGACTTAAATGAAAGTACAATTAGGGTACTTTTAAATGGTGATAAAAAATTAGAAGATGAGCAAATGAGGCATATGAGTTTTGACTTACCCTGTACAGATTTGATTCGAATTGAAAAAATAGTGAGTCGACAAAAATGCTGACTAACTTTTACCACAAAAAAATTGGTTTTTAATTATTTTTTTGCAGTAATACATGTCCTTGAAATTAATACAATTTTTATATAAAACTGGTTATAGCGTGTGAAATCCCACCCTGTGCAATCTCATACTATTTTGACTTTACAGACCGAGGAGTTACCGGTGGCCCACCCTGTATAGACATCTAGATAATTATTTTAAAAGTCTTGAATGAATATATTATGTTAGAAGCTAGAAAATATTCTCCCTAATACTGAAACAAAAAACACGTTTTTTTATAATTACATTCAATTTTTGTCTTCAAAATATCCATAAATATGCTGTTTTCCTGCAACTGGCAAAAAAAAGATATACATAAAATGGGCTATTTAATTTTTTAAACCATAAAAAAAATGTTCATGTCGAAGGAAACTGTTTAATGGTTACTTTAATATTAACGATTTTATATTTTCTCGTAGAATAGCTTGGACTTTGCCGGTAACATATTTAAAATTGCAACATTTGTCACATCTTAAATGAGTCCTAAAATTATTGGATATCGGTAAAAATGTAAAACGACCAAGTACTTAAAAATTATGACGTTTCCATGGTTACAACACTCAAAGTAATGTAGATCCGAATATTTACATACAATTTACTGAAATAAAATGACTATTTCAATCACTTAACTGCAAAATGACATACCTCGAGGTGCTTTTTTAAATATTTGAATACAAAGAAGTCAAATCCGCACTATACGGCTTGTTTACCTAAAAAATTTTACATTCGCGGGAGAATTTTGTAACTTGTCTGATTTCTTAAACTGTTGTCAGTGGAGAAAAAAATAAAAGTATTTTCATACAACTTTGAATTGATTTAAGTGATTCGGATAGCCTAAAATAGGATTAAGGGCTATTAGGGAAGGGGGCACACCTCTGCAAAACTCACTTCGAACAAGGACAAACCCGGAATTTTGGAGGGTTTTTCTTACTATTAGCGGCGTTATCGTGCTGAGTTTCCACTTTAAAAATTTTTTTGTATACGGAAATTTGACGTCTCCTTCATAATCGTGAGCATTAAAACGTATGTAAGGCGGAATGTTTGGAAATAGGCTGGGCCTAAGCATCCAATATATCGAATCCCCAGAACCTGCAATAAATAAAAGTGATGCATAGTAAAAAGTATCTTGACTGTGAAGGAAGAAATAAAATTGTAGAAGATGAAAGTCTAATTATGACTAAGAACAACCAGACACATTTCTCGATTCTAATTAATTTATGCACGCCTGTCATTTGTCACCTGTAAGTAGACTATTTGTTTATTTACATTGTGTCTTAGTTTTGTGGCGTTTTTTTGGTTTTCTTAACTGTTTAGATAATTATCATTATAATAGTGTTTTTGAGTTTTATTTTGTGTATATTTGTTTAGTTTCTGTGCTTTCGTTACAAATATAATATTTATTCTGTGTTTATGACTAAATTTGTTGGAAATGTTCACTTATCTGGATGCTACACCAACATCTAGTAATATTTGTGTGTGAACATTTACTAAACGCAGGACATCTTTTATTAAGTGGTTTAAGGGAAATTTTAGAGATAATAATAGAATTACTGTCCAAGGTCTAAAGTTTAAGCAATATTATGGGCGTCTTTATTTTGAAATCTAAGCATGCGCTTATTTACATTTTTAATAAGGAAAACCATAATTAAATAGTGCTTCTCCTTATTTTTGCAGAAATACTGTATGTGCTTAAAGTTAACTTTATTTAGCGGTTTCTAACCAAAAAATTTAAATTCTAATCTCTTTATAATTTATTATTGATAAACTAAGTTTAACTTCACCACCACATGAGTAAGATAGAGAATTTACGAATTAACTGCACAAAATGATAAAGTTAAAGGACACAGTAATAACTAAATTTGGTGCTCACAAATAGGAAAAACGAATTAATAATTGTACCAATAAACGAATATGACGCCAATGTTGCTAACTGCTAACTCATGAACTAATTTAAAGACAAAGATAAATGAACTGAAATTAAAAAAAAATCAATATAAGGAAATCATTTCATAAAAATCCTTAAATAGTAAATATAGTTTATGATTACATATTAATGGTATGCATACATTTCGCTACTTAAAAAAGATCTTTCCTACAAGGTCTAAAAATTCGCTGACGTAGCGGAATTCCGTTACTGTTGGCTACACTGGAAAAAGCCTACTAACAGACCCTCCTTTACAAATTTCTTGCAGAGCGTATCGAGGATTGGAATATAAAAAGACAACAACAAGCTCAAAAGGTGTATTTAACGACGTAACTCCTCAAGAGCCAATTCTAAACCTAAATTAATTTTGACACGTGAATTGAATTAGATAAATTTTGTTTTTATAAACTTTAATTTTTTTTTTCAAATAAAAAATTGATGGCATTTCTTATATATATTTTCTACAGTCTACAGTACAAAAATAATGGTAGCAGAAAGTAGAATTCAATTTTTTAATTTTTCGAAAATGTTCACCACCACAAAAGTAATTGAAAACTGTATGGCTGCGTGAAGTTAAATTTAGCAATATACATTGAACTAATACAAGGCGTGTATATACGGTATCGGTTATCAACCACTTTCGCGTTGCACAAGTGCGTGTGAAAAAGACAGAGAATTAGCATTAGAGCGAGAACAGGAATAATATCAGCAATGCCAGTTTGTACGGCCCGGCTAACGTTACAACGCAGTCGGACCGTATAAACTGGCAACGCTGATATTCACATGCACTTGTGCAAAACCTATTGGAAAACGTCCAGTGGCCGATACTGTACAAATCGACACATTTTAACAACGTAATATTTTAATCATATGTTTTAAACAAATGTTTTAATCAAATGTTTAACGTGATACAATTTTTTATGTTTTTTATTTTTTTGTATTTGTGCATATAACATATATTTTTATGTTTTATTGTAAAATGGGGTTTTCCCGTAAATAAATAATGAAAGACATCGGTAAGGAGAACATTTGTTTTTATTATGACTTCTCTCATTTATCCGTCTGTTCCGAGTTATATCATAGTGCATGTGATAAAATACAGGTTTTTTTTTTGGTGCGTACTTATAGATTATTTAATTTTCACTTTAGTTGAGTTAAAATCAGTTGTGGAGAAACTGTTTCCATGAGAACGTTCCTCATGGTAATGACTAAACAAAAATACAAATGCTATGGTGAAGAAATGCGTAGTTACCAAGGTATATGATTTAATTTAACTTTAGTTAAGCTGAAATCAGTTATGGGAAAACTGTTGCCATAGGGATGCTTGCCATGGTACCGACTAAACAAAAACCCAAATGATGTGGTTAGAAAACGCGTAGTTGTCAATTTATAGATGATTTAATTTGGCTGAAATCAGTTACGGAGAAACAGTTGGCATGGTAAGGAGTAAACAGAAACCTAAATGCGGTGATAAGGAAATGCGGTTGCCAACTTATAGATGATTTATTTTAGATTTAGCTGAAATCAGTTACATAGAAACTGTTGCCATAGGGACACTTGCCATGGTAACAACTAAACAAAAACTGAAATGTCAAATTGAAAAAATGCATAGTTGTCAAGTTATAGATGATAATCTAACTTTAGTTTAGCTGAAAGGCATTCAAGCAAGCAACCTACTAGCTTGCATGAGAAATGCCCTATAGCTCCAATAGATATTCAACTTCCTGTACAAAAGTAATTAAAAAAAAAAAAAATGTCATAGTCTGGACCGACGTGTATATGATGTCCCAACATGTGTTGCAAATGGCTTTATATTCGTTCTAATGTAGCGGCGGTAATTTATGATCGTATTATTATATCTTGTCCATTACCTTGGTCTCAGATGATTGGACCCAGTCCTTTAAAGGGCATGTGTGGGGCCTTGTAACCAACACGTAGAGGCCCTTTGGTACGGGATACACGTAGCGGATAAAATCATCGACTGCATCATATGATATTCCCGGATATAATTGTTTTTATATTACTAAGAATTAATAATTACTATTATTTACCTGTAATAAGAACTACAGCAATTAGTTACATTTAGGATGATATAACTTTGAACGGACAAGTGATTGAGATGAGTCGTATTGAAAAGAAATGTTATCCTTAAAAATATTTTTCAATTGGTATATAACTTATCCTTATTGGGGGTGGGGCAATTTCCCATACATTTCTGCTCATTCGCGATTCAAATTAAATTTCGCGCGTCTATCATTTGTCACAGTAGGATATTTACTTAGAAAAATCTTTATTAATATTTACAAATTAATACAATTTATTTAACAACAGATAGTGTGACATTATAGATTTGCTTCTGAGACTGCCTCCTGGAAGCTCCAATCTATAAGGCCTCATAATGGGCCTTGGCCGTTGTCTTAGCCGTGTCACTACCCTAGTCAATTAACATTTTGTAGAATCGTATCATCTCCTTGCTTAAGTTCAAAGCATTATATGACATTATGGTTAGCTTACTAAATCGACTGTCGAGTCGTATCTATAGTTTTGTTTGAATTTACTTATGTGTTTCTTCCTTGAAAAACTATTTGCAAAAAAACATGGTAGAAAGTAGGATATTTGTTTATTTACATTGTATTTGTTATGGGCGGAATTTTGTTATTTGTGATTTTTTAACTGTTTCTATATAAAATTCTCATTATAATGTGTTTTTGAGTTTCATTTAGTGTTAATTTAAGTTTAGTTTCCGTGCTTTCGTTATAAATATAATATTTATCATGTGTTGATGACTAATTTGTTGGAAATCTTCACCTATCATTGTTGCCACATGTAATTTTTTTCAGGAAAACGCCGAATAAAAAAACTGTGAATAAAAATTTTAAGTTTACTTTAAATAGAACACCCTATAATTGTTAACGTCCTCGGAAAAAATGTTTCTTCCCCTTTCCAAAAATGTATATATTGTCGGCATTAACTCAAGTTTTTAGGAAACATTTACTTTTTTATGAAACCACGTCAAGAACTTCCAAATGTAAAGTATTACATTTTAAAAGTTTACAACTCGAGAAAATGTATTGCAAAACGGCTTTTACTGAAATTTTTAAAAATGTCTCAATTTTTTCCTAACACAAAAAAAACAAGTTTCTAGTAGGGGAACAGCCCCCTTTAATTTTTATTATTTGTTGTTATGGCGGCAACAGAAATACAGATTCTGTCTACCTATTACGGATTATGAGATACAAACCGCTGACAGACGGATGTACAGCGGAGGCTTAGTAATAGGGTCCCGTTGGTTACCCTTCGGGCACGGAACACTAAACAGCAATTAAGTACTTTTATGATGGAGAAAATTGTTTAACCTTTGGTATCACTATTTTTGTACGGCAGAATGTTTTTCTCTATAAGACTTTCAATAACTATCTAAGTAAGAAATGGCGTCGATATTTATTTGATAAAAAACTCCTGTCTTGGATTGGAAAGTTCAATTTCCCGCTGAGTCCCCATGTGCCTTGGAAAATTGATATTTCGCCTAACGATATTCTTTTAGATAGTAGTATTAAAATTATAGTTTGATAATGGGTAAAATCACCCTCTAAATTTTCCCTACCTGGCTTGTAGTCTATAAACAATCCATAATTGTATTATAATAAAATATAAATAAAAATTCTAAAATTAAAATATTAATAAATTTGTCTATGAACGCATGCATATCCCGCGTGGCATATTCACATAAGAAATTTTTAAATTCAGTATAAGAAACCATTCACGATTTATTTGAACTACTGTAGAGCATGCAATTATTGTAAAAAATAGTTATATATTTAAAATGTATACATTTTTCACTCTATTTATAGATGGATATAGTGTAACAAACCTTTGGTTTTGTTTTTTAATTTGATGAAAATAATAAATAACTTTTATAATCATTTGATTACTACAATCTACAATTATTTTCATTATAAATGAAATTTGTAAACAATATTAATTTTAATACTGATCCATCACTGGTTACAGTTTAAAGATGAATATTCTGATAATACCAACTTACAACTAATGGTTTCATGGTAAACCGTGACGAAGGTTTGTTGCGAATTAATAATGTTGGTAAGGTAAAGGTAGTTGTTACCTTAACACAAATATATTTTTATTGACGAAAAATATTCCATCA